CATTCAATTTTTCTTAAGTTCATTTATTTATTTATCTTGAAAGAGAGCATGAGCAGGGGAGGAGCAGAGAGAGATGGAGAGAGAATCCCAAGCAGGCTCCGTACCACCAGCTCAGAGCCTGACCCGGGGCTCAAACCTATGAACCGTGAGATCATGACCCGAGGTAAAACCAAGAGTTGGATGTCCAACTGACAGAGCCACCCAGGTGCCCCTCCATTATATATTTTTTGAATGTGTGGTAAAATATAGACAACAAAATGTACCATTTTAACCATTTTTAAGCATATAACTCAGTGGCATTTAGTATATTCACAGTGTTGTACAACCATTACCACCATCCATCTCCAGAACTCTTTCGTCTTTTAAAACTGCAATCATATACCCATTAAACAATAACACCCCATTCCCTTCTCTCTGCAGCCCCGAGCAGTCACCATCCTATTTTCTGTCTCTATGAATTTACCAATTCTAGGTACTTCATATAAAAAAAAACATTATACAGTGGTTGTCCTTTTGCATCTGGCTTGTCTCACTTAGCATGTTTTCAAGGCTCATTCATGTTGTAGCATGTATAAGACTTTCATTCCCTTTTAAAGCTATATCCCCATTTTATTTATTATTTTTTTATATTTAATGTTTTTTAATGTTTATTTAGTTTTGAGTGAGAGAGAGAGAGAGACAGAGACAGAGAGACAGAGAGAGAGAGAGAGATGGAACATGAGCAGGGGAAGGGCAGAGAGAGAAGAAGACACAGAATACGAAGCAGGCTCCAGGCTCTGAACTGTCCCACAGAACCTGATGTGGAGCTCGAATTCATGGACTACGAGATTATGACCTGAGTTGAAGTCGAACGCTTAACTGGCTCAGCCACTCAAACACCCCCACACTCATTTTATTTTTATTTTTTATTTTATGTTTTTGTTTTTTAAGTAGGCTTCAAGCCCAGCACAGAGTCTAACACAGGGCTTGAACTCACAATAATCCTGAAATCAAGACCTCAGCTGAGATCCAGAGTCTGATACTTAACCTACTGAGCCACCCAGGTGCCCCTATGCCCCTCATTTTAAAGAGAAATCCAAGGCTTAGAGAAATAGAGAAACTTTCCCAAGATCACAAAGATCTTGGAGGTGCTGGGACGATAACTCAGGCCTGTTCCATGCTGTGAGTACAGAGCCTAATGCAGGGCTCGATCTCACGAACTGTGAGACTAAGACTTGAGCTGAGATCCAGCATCGGACACTTAACTGCCTGAGCCCCCCAGATGCCCCAGCGCTGCCACTCTCAATCACTGCGCTCAGGGGGGTCAGATCTCTGAAGCCCTTACCATTAGCAAGAATTCCTTGCTAAATGCTGAGTCCTTTGATATCAGAAAAACGTCTCTTAAAAACCTTTTTGGTGTTTGATCTAAGATATTCCTGTTCTGGAAATGAATATATTTTTCTCACTTAGCATCCCATGTACAAATCATCATGCCTGTTTGCCTATGATATTGCACAGGCCATGGATGCGTTACTAGGTGTGGGTGGCATGGCAAAAGAGTACGTGTGTGGCTTTAGGAGAGAGAAGTGACCAAGAGAAGATGGGACATTCTCCCTTAGAAGTAACAACAGTAGCAGCCGCTACAGAATCAATTCATAATTATGGAGACTGCCATTACTCTTAGCATTGGGTCAATGCTAACAGTAAGTTTAGGCAGATGCTTACATAGTGTACTTCATTTCTTTAATGGCTGGAGGATGCTTGAACTGTGCATAAAACGAAGCTTTTATCTTAAAAGCAGTCAGGTGTAAATCCTATCAAAATCTGTTCGTGGAAGCTGGAGGGGAGAGAGCTGACCTGGGGCTGCAGGCTGAGTAGAGAGGGAACCTGACAGAAAGATCTGGCCTTCAGCAGCTAGTTTTGGCTCTGTCCTCATTTTGGCCAGGTAAGATTTGTGAGCAGCAGGGTAGAAGCTTTGCTGGGAAGAGCAGTCCTCTGAAAGGTACTGTGGCTCTCATCCGTGCCCGCACGTTGGAATCACCTGAGGAATATTTTATAACCATACTGATACCTGATTGCCACCCTCAGGGATTCTGAATTGACTGATCTAGGGCGTGGCCTGGATATTGGATTTTTCAAAGCTCTCTCAGTATTTTTAATGGGCAGCAAAGTTTGAGAACCACTTGTTCAACTCTACCATCCTGCTGTGTACTCCGCACCTATGTTCCTCTTTGTTCTCCCTAGCCATTCTCTCCCAAGCCTGGAGCAGCAGTTTAGAGAGCTACCTGGTTTCCCTTTTCATTGTTATTCTGGCTCTTTATAAATTTAAACAAGCATGTCCCGGTCTTAGTCCCCACATCCATCCCAGACTTTGCGTGTGACCCAGGATAGCTTACCTAACCTTATCTGCTATCTAGGGACACCATTACCAGCTTAGTTTATTCCTGTGTTTATGACTTCATTCGTGTCTGCCTAAGAATCCTGCCCCCCCTTTCAGGATAGGCAGTGAGTGCAAAGTGCTGAGAAATAGAGGGTTCCTCTTACAGGTGGCTGTTGATCCGTCACCTTTCAGCAGGGACTAAATTTACCTTAAAGAAGAGTGCAGATCAAATTACCCATCAGAAAGCAAGTTTCATTAAAGAGCAAGAAAGGGGACAGTGTTTCCCAGGAGAAGATGAAAAGAAAAGGATTTCTTTTCTTGTCGGAAGACTTGACAAAACAGCAACTTGATATCAAATGTTCAATGCTAATTAACAAATGCTCGGCTAGAAAGCTTCCATCTGATTCCCTCTCCTTTAGTGAGGCCAGAGAGCAAATGGCAGGTAGGAACTACACAGGACCCTTTCTCTAGCATTACGGAAGCCACACAATGTTGGTGTGCTTGAGAAAGCACTGGACAGGAGTCAAAATTCTGAATGCTTGCTTCACTGAATTACTGTGTGAACTTGGGAAAGTCACTTAACCTCACCAAGCTTCAATTTCTTGATGTGTAAAAATAAACAACACCGCAGGAACCTGTGACTTTCCATAACTAAAATAGGTACCCCTCCTCCTCATTGTACCTTCCGGGTCAGTCCTGAAAGCACAGAGCCTATCCGTTTCAGAGCTGCCATTCATAATGTGTAGATCCTCCTGATTATGTAAAGTTTCAAAGCATAATTCACTGAAATGTTTTCAGTTTAAAAAGACAGCAACATTCCTATTGAAGAGTGAAGTGGATGGTGCCAATGTTAGGTCCAAAAAAGACTCCTCCCCAAAAACTCTTTACTGTTGGCATATGCCAATGGTATCAACCAACGTCTTACCTCAGAAATTAATAAGATGAATAAGTAACATGAAAATCTGATCTAATTTTAATATATGTGCATTGTAGGTTATTTTGATTGTTTTGCCACTGACAATGTAAATTCCCTAACCCATAATATTTAGGACTCCTCCTCCCCCCACATTTAAGGTCCCATATGTTCATATTAACAGATTTGTCAAGAGTTTTGCAAGTTTTTGTCACCACAATATTTCTGAGAAAGATAGCACAGCTATAATCTTACCACTTTACCAAAACAAAAATGGTGGCATGATTAACCACTGTCCCTCAATTTACCAGCCAGGCAAGGATAGAGCTGTGATTAGAACATCGTGGGTTTACTGATGCCCAGGCAAACCACAAAACTAAGGACTTGGGAGTCACTTCCTATAAGTAAGATTAAACTCCTTCCGGAAGTGGAAAACCTAGTAAGAGGCATTTCAAGGTAGAAAGGGAATGCAGAGTATCTGGTCTAAGAGACATCATACCCCTACTTACCCTGTCTGACTACCAGGGAGCCTCTATGGCGGTGAGCTGGTGTTAAGTCATTTCTAGGCATTCAAACCTGATTTGGGCTGAAAGGGCTTTCAGCACTGAGAGGCTGCCTAGTAGCTCCCACTGCATTTTCTCCATTGTTTCAGGAATTCCCCTCCCCCCAGGTTAGAGCTAGGTGGGCCTCTGTAGGCCCCTGCAGGCTGGCGTCTCCCAAAACGCAGCTGTCCTTTACAGTGGCAGCGTGCAGTGTATTGCATGAGAAGGGCAATGGAGGAAGAAGACAGGCAGGGAAGAGAGTACTAAAGAGGAGATGGCTCCGGGAATAAGCGCGAACTCTATAAATCAGGTGTGACCCGGGTGATTTGTGGAGTAACTTGGACTGGGCTCTTCTGGGGGAGGGGGAAGGGGAGTGAAGGGGCTCAATGTTCCGCAGAGAGGGGTCCTGAAATGACTTCCTTGGAAATTATGCGTTGCAGCCTCCCATTCCGAGAAACTTCTTTTGTGGAGGGGGATGGGAGTAGGGTGGGAATAAAGATGAGGAAGACTGGACAAAACTTGGGGGTATTTGGGGTTGCGTGTTCTGATGAGGAATGGATGTGCTGGGCTCCCCCCGCCGCCCCCTCTGGCCCTCAGAACCTCGTGTGATCAGACCACCCTCTCCGGAGTCCACGTTTTCCAGGCTCAGCGGATCCTTTATCCAAAGAAAAATAAGAGAAGCCTATCGCTTTGCTCTATTGAGCAGGGCTGTGTTTCCCACTGTGCCCCCTTGAGCCGGAGGGGGGGCGGCGGGGGCAGATCTAGGCAAAGACATCTGGAGAAGAGGGGAGCTGGCAGAGGGCGAGGGAAGGTGGACCCCACCACGCCCCGCAAGCACCTGTCACGGAGCCTCCGGAAACCTGCTAGGCTCCGGACCCCCGCCGCACACACCCGCCTCCCACTCCCCGCACCCGCCTGGCTCCCCAGCAGCTCCTCCCCCATCTCCCCTCTCCTAGCTTTCTCGCTCCAGCTCCTCCCCTCCTCCGCGCCTCCTCGCTCCCCTCCCCCTCCTCCGCGGCTCCCTGCCCCCGCCGCTGCCGCTGCCGCCGCCGCCGCCGATCACCATCTCCGCAGTCTGGGCCGCTGGGTGCAGAGGCTGCCGCAGCCCCCGCGGCCACCGCCGCCTCCCCCAATCCCGATACCCATTGTCTCCCCCTCTACCCTGCCCTCCACCTCCCCTACCACCATGGCGCACGAAACCGGGAGGAGCTCTCGTCTCGGGGGGCCCTGCGGGGAGCCAGCGGAGCTTGGAGGTGCGGTAGGGCCCTGCCTGGGCAGGGGTGGGGGCGGAGGGCACGCGCGCGGGGTAAGGGACTCTTCGGCAGATGGGATAAAATGCACGATTCTCTGCGTAGGGCCCCCTGCTCACATCCATTCCTTGCGCCCGCGGGTGACCCCGGGTTGGGGGTTGGGGGGCCGGCAGGCGGAGGCAGGAGCTTGAGCTTGCCTGCTCCCCCGCCCCCACGCTGGGGTGTTTCGTGTCCCGGCGGGTCACGGCCGGCCGAGCTCTAGCCCTCTGCTAAGCCTGATGGTGAGCTCATCTCCCCACCCCCCCACCAAGCGGTTACTGGGCTCGTTGTTAATTAGAGCCTTCGCCTGCCCATCCCAACCGCACCACCCACGCTCTCTCCTTGTCTTCTCCCTAGGTGATGCTAGCGAGGAGGACCACCCCCAAGTCTGTGCCAAGTGCTGCGCACAATTCACTGACCCAACTGAATTCCTCGCCCACCAGAATGCATGTTCTACTGACCCCCCTGTAATGGTGATCATTGGGGGCCAGGAGAACCCCACCAACTCTTCGACCTCTTCTGAACCCCGGGCTGAGGGCCAAAATAGCCCCCAGGTCATGGAGGCAGAGCACAGCAACCCTCCGGAGTCTGGGTCCTCGGTGCCCACAGATGCCACCTGGGGCCCTGAGCGGAGAGTAGAGGAGTCTGCGGGGCACTTCCTGGTCGCTGCCACAGGTACGGCAGCCGGGGGAGGTGGGGGCCTGATCTTGGCTAGTCCCAAGCTGGGAGCAACCCCATTACCTCCAGAATCCACCCCTGCACCCCCTCCGCCTCCTCCTCCGCCTCCGCCCCCAGGTGCAGGCAGCGGCCACTTGAACATCCCTCTGATCTTGGAAGAGCTGCGGGTGCTGCAGCAGCGGCAAATCCATCAGATGCAGATGACTGAGCAAATCTGCCGCCAGGTGCTGCTGCTCGGCTCTTTAGGCCAGACAGTGGGCACCCCTGCCAGTACCTCGGAGTTACCCGGGGCAGGGACTGCCTCCTCCACCAAGCCCCTGCTTCCCCTCTTCAGCCCCATCAAGTCCGTCCAGACTGGCAAGACACTGGCACCTTCTTCTTCCTCTTCCTCCTCCTCCTCGGGGGCAGAAACGCCCAAGCAGGCTTTCTTCCATCTTTACCACCCACTGGGGTCACAGCACCCTTTTTCTGCTGGAGGGGTTGGGCGCAGCCACAAACCCACCCCTGCCCCCTCCCCAGCCCTGCCTGGCAGCACAGATCAGCTGATCGCCTCACCCCATCTGGCATTCCCGGGCACCACGGGACTTTTGGCAGCACAGTGTCTTGGGGCAGCTCGAGGCCTCGAGGCTGCTGCCTCCCCCGGGCTCCTGAAGCCAAAGAATGGAAGTGGTGAGCTGGGCTATGGGGATGTGATGGGTCCCTTGGAGAAGCCTGGTGGACGGCACAAATGCCGCTTCTGTGCCAAGGTATTTGGCAGTGACAGTGCCCTGCAGATCCATCTGCGCTCCCACACAGGTGAGAGGCCCTACAAGTGTAATGTGTGTGGCAACCGCTTTACCACCCGCGGCAACCTCAAAGTGCATTTTCACCGGCACCGTGAGAAGTACCCGCACGTGCAGATGAACCCCCACCCAGTGCCAGAGCACCTAGACTATGTCATCACCAGCAGTGGCCTGCCCTACGGTATGTCCGTGCCGCCAGAGAAGGCTGAGGAGGAGGTGGCCATGCCAGGTGGAGGTGTGGAACGCAAGCCTCTGGTGGCCTCCACTACAGCACTTAGTGCCACAGAGAGCCTGACGCTGCTCTCCACTGGTGCGGGCACAGCCTCGGCTCCCACGCTCCCTGCTTTCAATAAGTTTGTGCTCATGAAGGCAGTAGAGCCAAAGAGTAAAGCCGATGAAAATACCCCTCCAGGGAGTGAGGGCTCAGCCATGGCTGGGGTGGCAGAAAGTGGCACAGCAACCCGAATGCAGCTAAGTAAGCTGGTGACTTCGCTACCCAGCTGGGCGCTGCTTACCAACCACTTCAAGTCCACAGGTAGCTTCCCTTTCCCCTACGTGCTGGAGCCCTTGGGGGCCTCACCCTCTGAGACCTCAAAGCTGCAGCAACTAGTAGAAAAGATTGACCGGCAGGGAGCTGTGGCCATGGCATCTACTGCCTCAGGAACCCCCACCACCTCTGCGCCTGCGACTTCGTCCGCAGCCTCCTCTGGGCCTAACCAGTGTGTCATCTGCCTCCGGGTGCTGAGCTGTCCACGAGCACTGCGCCTGCATTATGGCCAGCATGGAGGTGAGCGGCCCTTCAAGTGCAAAGTGTGTGGCAGGGCTTTCTCTACCCGGGGCAACCTGCGTGCACATTTCGTGGGCCACAAGGCCAGTCCGGCCGCCCGGGCCCAGAACTCGTGTCCCATCTGCCAGAAGAAGTTCACTAATGCTGTTACTCTGCAGCAGCACGTTCGGATGCACCTGGGGGGCCAGATCCCCAATGGTGGCACCACGCTCTCTGAGGGGGGGGGAGCTGCCCAGGAGAATGGCTCTGAGCCATCCACAGTCTCCGCGGTGGGGACTTTCCCCCCGCAGCCTTCCCAGCAGCCGTCCCCAGAAGAGGAGTTGTCGGAAGAGGAGGAAGAGGATGAGGAAGAGGAAGAAGACGTGACTGATGAAGATTCCCTGGCAGGGAGAGGCTCAGAGAGTGGTGGTGAGAAGGCAATATCAGTGCGAGGTGATTCGGAAGAGGCATCGGGGGCAGAGGAGGAAGTGGGGACAGTGGCGACGGCAGCGGCCACATCTGGAAAGGAGATGGATAGCAGTGAGAAAGTGATTCAGCAGCCCTCCCTGCCACCGCAGCCACCACCACCTGACAGCCTGGATCAGACGCAGCCCATGGAGCAGGGAGGCAGTGATGTCGAGGGAGGTGGCGTGGAAGAGGGGGGCAAACCAGAGAAGAGCTCGAGCCCGGCCTCCGCACACACCCGGGAAGGGGAGGGTGGCGGCAGCGCCTCAGTGGAGGAGCTGAGCATGCAGGAAGCGATGAGAAAGGAGCCTGGAGAGAGCAGTAGCAGAAAGGCCTGCGAGGTGTGTGGGCAGACCTTTCCCGGCCAGGCAGCCCTGGAGGAGCATCAGAAGACCCACCCAAAGGAGGGGCCGCTCTTCACTTGTGTGTTCTGCAGGCAGAGCTTTCTCGAGCGGGCTGTCCTCAAGAAGCATATGCTGCTGGCTCACCACCAGGTACAACCCTTTGCTCCCCATGGCCCTCAGAATATTGCTGCTCTGTCCTTGGTCCCAGGCTGTTCACCTTCCATCACTTCCCCAGGGCTCTCCCCTTTTCCCCGAAAAGATGACCCCACGATCCCATGAGCCTGTTTTTCTGAACCTGCTGCCCCTTGACCCAGGGAGCAGAAACCCAGAGCTCTGTAGAAGGACCTCCGGGATTTATGAGCCCTTATTTGTCTTTTTCTCTGAGTCCTTCCGTGATTACATCCCCAGTGGCTTCTCTCTAAGTCCCTGAGCTTGGAAATGGCTGTGCTCACAGGGGCATGGCCCCCTGATGAATTTTTTCTTCCCTCTTCACTCACTGTACCTGAGGAAACTAGATTCTCTACAGCTTTCACATTCCCAAGGGGATCCCTCTCCAGCTTCCCTGGGGTGACCCTTCTCCCCCTCTCCTTTCTTCCTCTCCCTTCCCCTTTGGCAGGTGCACCTGAGCACCCACATTTGGAATTGCAGCCCAGCCCGAAGGGGCCGGGAGCTGTCTCTGGAGGGCCCAGTGCCACTCCTCTCTGGTGACCAGGTCAATCTGCAGGAATTCCTGTCCCAGGACGTTCCTGCCCAACTGGTGAGGGTAGGTCCCCTGTCCTTCTGGAACCAGTACACAGCTTTCCTGTCAAGTGACCTGCCCACCAAGCCCCGGAGTTCCAGCTCCACCTCCACTACCAGTTTAGGCCTGGCACCACCAGTGCTGTTTGGCCCAGGAACTGTGGCTGGGAACGTGCCTCCAGCAATGGGATCCAGAGAGGCCAAAGAGAAGAGAGCCCCCCTCTTCCTGTTTCGGTCTCCTGCATCCAAGGCAGTGCCTGAGAAGCCCATCATAGAAGAAAAGTAGCAAACTGTACATTTCTTGTTTCCCCTGCTCTGGAAGGTGCCAGCAATGGAAGATGATACAATATCTGTATCTGGTGGCTCAGCCCTAAGGGGTAGGGAGAAATGAAGAGCATATAGGACATTCTTCCCAGTAAACTCCCATTTAGGCAAAAGTGTTGGCTGGTCAGCATGCCAAGACACCTCCAGCTTCTCCTGTTCCTTCATCATGGCCTGTCAAGGTTAGGAAACAAGCAGATGTCTTACCAGCAGGTCTCCCGTGGGATCTTTTGGGAAATAGGAACTGTTCATATCTTTAACAAGCATTTTTGGTGAAGGTCATTGAAGGAATAATAAGAGAGTTGAAGAGCATTGGTAACTCATAGGGCTTGCTGTGAACATATGAGATTAAGAAAGGGGCATGATGTGAGAGAGGGGACCTCAAATTCTTGATTGGATGGGTCTCACGAATGTTCTTTTGGACTATTAGTGACTTAGTGTGCAGCAATCCCCTGGGTCCCCTGGGGATTTCCTAGCACTAGCGTGCTTCTAGTTTTAGATAACTCCCTACTTTGTTCCCTGGCCCCTTGTATTTTCCTTGTCTTCCTTTCTCAAGGCCTGTTTCCTCCCCATTTTGCCTGTCTATGGACCAGGGCTTATGTCTTTGCCACTGTCTGGTTCTTAGAGTCCCAGACCTTGGGAGATGAGCTCTAGGTGGTGTTCTCCCTGCCTCTCCGTCTTGTAATGAGATGTAGTATTTACTCTTAACATAGGATCATTTGGAACAGGAGTTCTGAGGGGGAGAGAGTGAGGGTTCTGCTATTGATTGACTTGAATGATGGTTTCTCCTCCAAAGGTATAGGCTCCAGAGCTTCCTAACATAGTAAAATGTGAAGAACAGACAAGGGAGATAATAGTGTCTTTCCCTTTTCATTAAAAGTGTTTTAACCAAATATTTGTGTGTTTTTCCTTATTTCATGACTAAATAGCCAGCTGGGGTGTGATATGGGCATTCCCTAACATTGAGATTCCCTTCCCACCTACATCTCCTGCCAAAGCTGAACATATGGTGTTGAAATATTTAATTTATTCAGCCTTGTCCTAAAACAACCTCCAGTGAATGTAATTTCCCTGTGGAAATGGAGTTTATGTTCTCAGAAAGTAAAGGATTTGTCCATTGTGTGCAATCATTGTCTAGATTCTTTTCTTTGCCTAGAACTTTCCACCACCAGGCTTTTGTGGGGGGTTTTGGTTTTTTGTTTTGTTTTGTTTTGTTTGGAGGTTGGAAGCTATTTCCTTATTGGTCCTTCCTGAACCCCAGGGTAGCCTAGCTGATACATCTTAATCTGCAGAACCAAGATGAATTAATCTTTATGATCCTTGAGATCTGGTGTTATACACAGAAATAAAAAATAATTCAACACTAATAATTTCTTTCGACAGGATAATTTAAAGGAGGATTATTAGTAGAGGAAGTACATGGGGGGTGGGAGAGTGAAATGAAACATACATACATTTTTTACCTTATCTCTCCACAATGTGATAAGGTTTAGATTTGACCCTAAGACCTTAGTTTTTTAAAGAGAACAGTCCCAAACTTATCTTGCATTTTTAAGATTCTAATATCACTGAATCTTAGTGCTAAAGGGACAGGGCTGGTAAAATGATTTGTCCAAAGTCACTCAGCCAATTAATGGCAGAGTTAGTACTACCAGCAGTGATCAGGGATGGTGCTTGTTTCTTGCTACATCATTTAAGACTCCTGACGTGAGGCTGGCTGGAAGACAGAAAGGAGGAGGTGAGTGAACCTATTCTTGGCTCCATTCAAAGTAAAGATTCCAGTTGCCCCCCACCATACCAGTAACAGTCTCCTTTAAAAGGTCCTGGTGAGGGGTGCGTGCATGGCTCAGTCAGCTAAGCGTCCAACTTTGGCTCAGGTCATGATCTCACGATTCGTGGGTTTGAGCCCCACGATGGGCTCTGTGCTGACAGCTAGCTCAGAGCCTGGAGCCTGTTTCAGATTCTGTGTCTCCCTATCTCTCTGACCCTCTCCTGCTCACGCTCTCTCTCTCTCAGAAATTAATAAAACAGTTTTAAAAATTAAATAAATAAAAGGTCCTGGTGGGAACAGGAGTACATGGAATCTTGTGAGGTCAACTGGGGAAGGAACAGCTTCTGCCTCTAATTCCTAACAAAGCTTTGTTAAGTCTTTTTCTCCTTTCAGCGTGTGGAAGGAGGTAGGTCACCAATCGTATTCCATTTACCTCCCCTACCCCCATTGGACATAGATAATGCCATTTAACTAATTAAACTAGACTTGCCCTCTCTTTACATGCCAGTTCCCATTATGGTAACAACTGTCTGTAAGGCTTCTACTCATGGATACTTCCTCAGGCAGGTCAGCACTGCGCCTGACTCCCCACGCCCCTCCTTCATCGCTCTACTTTATTTTCCCTTCTGTCTCCTTTTTATTCTTTTTTACTCTCCTGTCCTGCTTTTTCTTCATTGACCTCTCTTATCTGACAGGGTTTTTTTTTTTCCTCTTTTCTCTTTTCACCTTTAATTTATTCTGTCTTTTCTAAGAACCTTTAAATTTTTTCCTTCTTGTAGCCGCCTCCAATCCCCACCCTCAGCCTCACCATTTCTCACTCTCAATCACTTTTCACTTGATCATCTTTTTGGAAGGTGAATTAACTCTAACCTGCTGGAATGAGAATATAAACAAATGAAGCTTGCAAAAACACTTTACATGAAATAAATAATAGCGGACCCAGTTCAAACTGGATGGATGAAGATCATCACTATGAAAAGACCCAAGAGACAGCTTTGCTTCTCCATTCAGTTAATTTCTGAGGATTTATTTTGTTTCAGAGATCAAGTGTTGGGTGGATCCTAAAGCAAAGAAGACATTTCTGCCCCTGTGGAAGCTCAGGCTAGGATGAAGAAAAGTATGAACGTATTTTTAATATGGTGTTGGTAAATAGTATGAGAAATGCAAACAGTGGCCTACAGGGAAATAACTCATAACGCAAACAAGGGGGGGTGGTGGTGTATAATTCTTTTGAATCCAGCTTTCATAATAACCACTCTCAAATATATAAACAATCCATACAACAGCCTAAGGACCAATGCAGGTATCATTTAAGCACCTATATAAGATACACAAAGTCTTTGGCTGATACAGAGATGTGCTGCTTTAGAGGCTCCCCACCAGGAAAGAACTGGCTACCTAGGTGCAAGAAGCCTAATTCACTGACATTCTTCGGCCTCTGGCCAAAGACTGAGCAAGATGATGAATGATACAGGAGCTTAGCCATTTCCATGGAACATGGGACTCTAATGAGCATTTTTGTTCTGGAATTCCCCATTGGGCTGGCAGAGACTGTCAGGTTTGCTCCATAGTCTGACAATTCTTCCTCCCCAATCCTGCCACCCCACACCCCACCCCTGCTTTTCCTTTAACAGGTGCTACTCCTCATTAAAGTTTTGGAATCCTAATTCGGGCTCCACATCTGCTTCTCAGAGATTCAACCTGTATTATTCCTGAAAAAGGCCTAGTGCTACTGGCACATTTTCATCTTTCACAAACTCTACTCCTGAGATCTGGTTACCATCCCTGGAACTTCGGAGTAAACCACGGAGTGTCTGTCTCCTTACCCCTAAGACAGACTTCACTAGTATTACTCTCAAGGAGGCCCAACTCTGACTTTCCTTTTCCTTGTTTTTCATAAATGTTTAATTATTTAAGATTTTATTTTTAAGTAGTCTCTACTCCTAGCATGGGCCTCAAACTCACAACCTCAAGATCAAGAGTTGCATGCTCTTTTGATTAAGCCAGCCAGGTGCCCCTGTAATTTTTTAAAGTTCACTTATTTATTTTGAGAGAGGGAGGGAGAGAGAGAATCTCAAGCAGGCTCCCTGCTGTCGGTGCACAGCCGACGTGGAGCTCTATCTCAAGAACCATGGGATCGTGACTTGAGCTGAAATCAAGAGTCCGATGCCTATCTGACTGAGCCACCCAGGTGCCCTTCTAATGTTTAATTTAATAACAGATTAACTGCAGTGGACATTTTGCTTTTGATCAGATAATAAAAATTGAGTGGGGCGCCTGGCTGGCTCAGTCAGAACAAGTGTGTGACTCCTGATCTCAGGGTCGTGAGTTTGAGCCCCACATTTGGTATAGAGATTACATAAAACTTTTTTTAAAAATGAGGAAGAAAAAACTTTAGTAAAAAACCATTTGACCAAAGAGCAAGTAAGAAGTAGAGTAGTATTTGGTCAGTACTGTGGATATTTTGGGAATCCATTGCTGTGCCACAAACCATCCCAAACTTAGTGTCTTTGTTTCTTTTTGTTTGTTTTTGAGAGGCTGAGGGGGCAGAGAGAGGGGGACAGAGGATCTGAAGCAGGCTGTGTGCAGCTTGGGAGTTTCTCTCTCTCTCTCTCTCTCTCTCTCTCTCTCTCAGTAAATGAACTTCCAATGATATGCCCAGGTCTCCAAGAGGGTAAAAGCAGAAAACTGAGCTTCAAGGCCTCTTTAGGATTTGGCTTCTAAACCCAAAGAATATGATCACTTCTGCTACATTCTGTTGGCCAAAACTAGTCAGAAGTCCCGCTCAGCTTCCAGAGGAGGGGAAATACGATTTACCTCTTTTTTTTTGTTTTTTTAATTTCTAGGAGAGAGAGAGAGAGAGAGACAGCGTGAGCAGGGGAGGGTCAGAGAGAGAGGGAGTCACAGACTGAAACAGGCTCCAGGCTCTGAGCTGGCAGTCAGCACACAGCCTGACGCAGGGCTCGAACCCACGAACCCACGAATCGTGAGATCATGACCTAAGAGAAAGTCGGACGCTTAACCAACTAAGCCACCCAGGCGCCCCACAATTTACCTCTTAAAAGGAAGAGTGGCCAAGTCACTCTGCATAAGGGCAAGAGATGGGAGGCATTATGACTAACTCTGGAAGCAGTCTACTACAGCAGATATGAAGAGAAGTTAAGAAATGTAGTGCCTGTGCACTCATCTGCTCACAACTAGGCTTACTACACTCTGTCTTGACAAGGAGAGTTCTGAGCAAGGTTCCTTCCCCTGTGCACTGCTCAGGATGGTATGCTGACTGGCTAAAAGTGGGCAGAAAACTGGTCATGAGGAGTCTAGAAAGAATCCCTCTATAAGCACATCATGCTGAGTGACCCCCCTATGTTCCTAAAATTTGCCTGATTTACTACTGCAATAATTTACCCAAAATGAATGTGAAAGCAAAGACTTCTGGAAGCTGCCCTTGATTTGGATGACTTTCAGGAATACCTGAGCTACTTCTCTGGCTTTCTCGGTAAGTAAAAAGAGGCAATTCAGGCCTTAGATATCTCGAATTCTACCAGAGATGGAATCTCTTCCGCTAAAAAATCCTTCCTTTCTTAGACAAAAATGCTTATACTGTTTAGGGGTTAACCTGTGGAATTCCATCTTCGAGATGAATCAACTCCTTTTATCTTCTACAAGGCCATGTCTGGTACTCTTTTCCCCCCCAAGACTATTTAACTTCATGGCCATATAATTTCTATATATTTTATTTCTCCTTGAAAGAAAGTGATCTCATAAGAAGTGAGGAATTCAGATTTGTGAACAATGAACTCTTAACAATTCTGTAATGTAGCAATAATGGTATTATCTTACTTTAGTAATGATACATGTGTCTAAACATAGCAAGTGAAAGTATAGAAGCATCCTTTGTCAAATTTTTACAAATATTTTTAATGTTTATTTATGAGAGAGAGAAAGAGAGAGAGAGAGAACGTGTGGGAGGGACAGAAAAGAGGGTCACAAAGGATCCAAAGTGGGCTCTGTGCTGACAGCAGAGAGCCTGATATGGGGCTGGAACTCACGAATTGTGAGATCATGACCTAAGCCAAAGTCAGACACTCAACCCACTGAGCTACTCAGGCACTCCCTGCCCCC